TGTTGTCAGCGACATCTATATTTCCCTTCCTCAAACCAAAGCCTCCAATTGAAACCAGGTAAAATGAACTCTCAAAGGATAAGGGGATATGTATTTATGGCTGTGTTGTGTTCGCTTTTAAATCACAGAAAAGCAGACACAAAAAACTAGTGGTCCTTACCCCTTCCCCAAATCACCTTACTTCACATGGATCCCAAGACAGATCCAAAGGCTCTTGTTTCTAACTATGTCCTTTTATTCTATCAAAGTTTCATCTGACTTATCTAATTTTATTTCTCACAAACACCTATGGTTGACTATCTCTTTGCATTTCCCCATGTCTCTATGTTTAAGGAACAAGGCCATCAAACAACTCTAGGAACCATACAGGGGAAAGTGACCTTTCCTAGGGCAGGGCTAAGATCCCGACCCCACTCTTTTTTTGGATAATTTTTCCTCTCTAAGTGGGGGTACCATTATAAGGCACTTATACATTATACTTCCAAGGGCTGAATAACTAAGGACTGGTGCCACCTTGAATCTGCCTCATTCCCTAGGGTTCAACTTTGTATTCAGGAGGCCTGAGTTTGGACACTAGCTTCATGATTACAGACAAGGTGTGTCATCTCTCTCAGCTTCAGCTTCCACATTTATAATTTGGGGATATTATCATACTAATTACCAGGGTATCATAGAGAGAGTATTTTGTAAACCCAAAAAAGCGATGGAAGAAATGCAAGTTGCTGCAACTATCCATATTAAGAATATTTGCAATTGACTTGCATTTTTTTCCTAAGTGAAATCATTTAATTTGCCTATTAATTTTGAAGGTGAAATGATGTGATCTTCCCTAAAAAGTTTCCTGAGACATTAAGTCACAGCTCAGGAAAACTACTCATGGGACACCATCTGCTTTTCTTCAAGAATTAATAGGGAGCAAAGAAAGAATTGATGGAGTCTGAATACAGATTGAAGCATATTTTTGTACTTTATTTTTTGGGGGTTTTTATTTTGGTCTAAGCTTTCTTTTACAACATAACTAATATGGAAATATGTTTTGCATGACTACACATGTATAAGCTATGTCAAATTGCTTGCCTTCTCAATGAGCCGAGGTGGGGGCATTGGGAAGAGAGGGAGAGAATTTAGAATTCACTTTTAAAAAAGAATGTTGAAAATTGGTTTTACACGTAATTGGGGGAAAATACAATCGGTTTTTTTTTTTAAAAAAAGGACTAATAGGGAGAAAAAAGAACAAGGAAGTTCTTTACCAGCAAAACACATACTGGCACACTCAAGTTCTGGATTGAGTGAAATGACCTCATTGACACTAACTCTATGACCTTGGGCCTAAGTTATCTGAGCTTTCCAAGTCTCAAGAGATCTCACCTGAAAACAAAGATAGTTGTGTTATAGGTTCAAATGAAACAATGCGGATGCCTTTTTAGGTATGAGTTGAACTAGATAACCGTCGGTAAGGTTCCTTCCAATCCTGAAATTCTGTAATTTCTTTTCAGCCTAACCTTCCCTAAGCCTTGAATTCTGTACACAAAATGCTTCATAAACCTTGGATCAATTTCTTCAGCCTTCCTTATGATCACATTGTTGAATGTGAATCATTTTAATTTTTTCTTCCTTTATGTACTTTTCCAAGTTTTTATTCCTTCACATGTTATAAGGCCCTGAACTAGACCTCTATAGACAAGAACTGATAAATAAAGGACTTCAATGTGAAGATAAACCACAAAATACTTCAGTGAACACTATTCTCAGAGATAAACAAGAGTGAAGACTTATAATAGCAGTATTAACCCTGACTCCTTACTTACTCATTCAGTGGAGTACTAAAAAATAAAAAGGAAAACAAGCACATAAACTGAAGGCAATTTTATGCAGCCTGCTCATTTTGGATACCATGTCTGACCTGAGCCACCTGTTGATTGTGAAGTTTACAAACTTAAATGAATTGTTTTGCAATTAACCAAATCCAAGCAGCACTGATGATGTCAATATACTGTTCCCTAGCCATATGGTTTGGAAGAAATACTGAGAATAATTCAGTTCATTAAATCAAACTAGGTTTCTGCTCTGTTTAAGCCTTCAGAAGGATAATTCTTCACTGTAGTGTTTTCCAAAGGACACATTGCCACAGGGGAAACATTTCAAGCTTCGCTTGCTCATTCAGATTTCCCACTTGAAAAGGGCTTAGAATTCTAATCCTTAGTATAAAGAAGTATGATCATATAGCTCAGAGTGAGAGAGAGAAAGGTAAATGGCATTACTTTTTATTAGATTGCCTACCAGGTTTTGTTCAAGCTCTGCAAAGACTGCCCTTGGAAAAGAGATCTATAGATATCATTCTCTCTTTAATAATCACCATTAACTCCCCTATTGGCCAAATTCTCTTCCCAAGCAGAAAATGCCTATTTTATGTTTCTTATGTGTTCACCACCCATACTACAGAATCACAGCAATTTAATTTTCTGTGGCAAGAAATCAAAAAAACCTTAAAGAATTGGGAGGAGAAAATAAGAGAAAGAATAGGAAGGCAAAGTAGAATCCAAGGGCGTAAGGCGATCTGGAGTAGATAGGATGGATGATTTCCAGGCAGGCAAAATGAAAACCATTAATAATAATCTGAAACAAATCCTAGTAACTAAGTTCACATATAAAAAGAGGTAGGAGGTTCAATATTCTAAGGGTTCTTATTATCTCTTCTCCAAAATAAGTTCTGGTCATTCTTAAAGAAAACTATACTAATCACAAGAAGAGATAAGTAACACTGTATGTGTGTATATGTATGTGTATGTGTATGTGTATATATATATATATATATATATATATATATATATATATATATATATAGTGTGTGTATACACAAACATACATACATATATACATATGTATATATAGAAATACACACACACACACACACATATATATGTATATATATTCTGAAATCCAGGATGGACTGTTACATGGACCATATATAAATAAGTTACTGAACTATCACAGAAATTCATTAGCTCAAATCAAAATGGAAGAAAATATCAACACTCAAAATCTAAAATACTGACTTACTTAAGTTTTCTCTATAGGAATAATGGTATTTGTTTACACTGGAAAAGCATGAACAGTATGTTCTTTTCATGGTTTCCATTAAGTGACTCATTGTAAAGATAAGCACAGAAGATGAAAACAAGATTTAATGTTCAAGGATAAACATAAAAGGCTGGTAAAATCCTATTAGAATAGGATTGATACTCAAAACAAAGTCTGGTGAAGTAAGCTAAGAGCCTCCAAAAAAGGATATTCCTATGTTGGCCTCCCAGCACAATATGTAGAACTGCTATAGCAAACTCAGGGAGGGCATGGATCAGAGCTGCCTCACAGGATGGGCAGTCATGGATGGATAATAATTAATTAGAGTGCTACAGTTGGAATGAAACAACATTGATAAGATCCCAAATTCATTGTATCTACTACTGATAACTACTGATAACCTGAAAACATGACCAGGATTCATTAGAGGACTAGAGATTACGCCCAACTATGATGGGTGAAATTAACTAATGATGTTTAGCCAAGAAAGCAAAAAAAGTAAAAAATAAGAGAGTGGGGACAAGACAGATCCCTGTATTTGAAGGGATGTCATGTGTAAGAGGATTTAAACTTCACTGTTTGGCCAGCAAACTAAGAACAAGGAGAAAATGTTAAAGGGCAGATTTTGGCTCAATATAAGGAAAAGGCTTCTAACAATTACATGAGTTCCAAAGTAGAATAATGTGATATATGAGGTAGTATGAAAGTATATATGAAATGCATAGCTTTAACTTAGATATATCTTTAAAAGATCAGTCAGCAAACATTTATTAAGCACCTACTATGTGCCAGGAACTATGCTAAGTGCTAGGGATACAAAAAGAGGCAAAAGACAGTTCTTGTCCTTGAGGAGCTCACAAATCATGGAATCCTTTTGCAGAATGTTGTTGCTTGGTCAAACTGCTTCTGTAATTTCACTACATATTCTTGGCAGAAAAGAATAAAGGATCTAACCTAGGCAAACATTTTTAGAATTTTACCTTTACTAAAGTTATCAAGGTGAAAACAATAATCCAAAAAGTCTATGAAGATTATAAATTTAAATGTTCTTTTTTACCTTGTATTTAAAAAAAATCAATCAGCAAAAATAAGTTTGTGTGTTCTTCCAATGTAAAAATAAAATTGCTTTTGCACACTTGAGGAATAAATTTCCTTATTACCTAGGTTAGCTTGTACAGAGGTGAAATTGGTTTAACTGGAATAGAGTTTTGTTTCAGGGTGATGAAATCCTCCTTGCAGTGACCAGAGTTACTGCATCTCATTGTATAGTCATCTATCTGCCCACCCACAATCAGTACCATATCTCTTTCTCTAATCCCCTATGAAGACAAAGACTAGACTGCCCCCTTTCCTAGCACTCATGATTGGACTTATCCCTGAACTATTACCATCCCTCCCCTTGAAATTATTTTGTTTTTGTTTAAAAAAAAAATCCCAGTTATGGATCTGCCTTTCTGTGAGCTCTTCTCTTCTAGTTCCATAATATAGCACAGTGCAAAAGAAAGCCCAGAATTCAGAACAAGAGGACACAGATTTGAATTCTAACTCTGATACTTGTGACCTATATGACTCTGGTCAAGTTAATTTCCATTTCTGTACCCCAGTTTCCTAATTTGTAAAATGAGGGGACTGGACTAGATGACTCTAGCGTGTCATATCTTAATTATAGATGCATCATTTTAGTAAATATCGACACCAAAATTCCTGTCTAGGGAGACGATTTTTGCTGTATTCTGTTGTTATTTTCATTAGAAAAGCTTAAAGCAAATATATTGATTTAAATGAAAACAAAACCAAGTTTAGTTGTTTAAATTCATGAAACTATAATATTTAGGTGGCAAAATCAGCTTTCCAATGCATACTGAATAATGCATTGGGATCCTCCCACAGCACAGGAAAGTAAGAAAAAATTTAAATACCTGTGAAGCTTGAGAGTCACAGTTCCATAAACAGTAGCAAAACCCAGAAGACGAACCCATCTCAGAAGGATGCAGCGAAATGTGCTTGGCTCAAAATATAAAATGATAACCTATGAGAAAAAGAGACAAAGAAACAGACCTTTAAGATGAATTTGTAATGGAAGAAAAAAGCTGATGGTCTGGACACAGGAATCAATCAGCCATGACATAACGTATTAGATGAGATTCAGCAATTACAATCAATAGTACTTTAAGCTCAAATCTTATATGCAGCTATCAAGATAATTTCTTTCAAGCATCATTTTGATCATTCACTCCCTTGTTCAAGAAGCTGTAGTGGCTTCTTATTGCCTATGAGTTCACATCTAAGCCCCCAAGTTTAGCAAAGGTCTTCCATCAAATCTCTGGAGCAGGAGGACCTGAACTAGACTTTGAGTCTGGAGAGATACATGTCCAAATCCTGCCTTTTACTGTTATTATTTATGTGTCTAGGGACAAGTCACTTAGCCTCTAGGCCTCAGTTTTCTCATCTTAAAAATGGGAATAATAATAATGATAATAATTAATAATAATAATTCCATTGCCTGGAATGTTGGCATTTAATAAATGCTTATTGCTTGCTTGCTTAATTGTCTCATAGGGTAGTAATGATGATGAAATGAGATAATATTATGTGAAGTTCTTTCCAACCTTAAAACATGATACAGATGTCAGCTATAATTGTTATCATCTGTATATGTGTGAGACAGACATACAGAGTGGGAGAGACAGAGAAGAGACAGAGACAGAGAGATCATTATGTGCCTACCACTGTGCTCAGTTCTATAAATAAATACTCAAGGATATATAACTTTATTAGTTTGGGTACACCATCTACCAAATACCAATAGATCATAACATGCCTATAACTTGGTAAGGGATCTTTGAGATTTGTCATGACTACATTGTAATGAGCCCCTTTCAGGCTATTTGGAATTTACTTAGACAATAGACTTAGAGTTTATTATCAGTCCTATGCTAGGTGCTGTAAGAGATACAAATTAAGTTGAAGGCATAGTTCTTACCTTCAAAATAATTTCAGTCTAACTGAAAAGACAAGTTATATGTATTATCCAGGAAAACTTTTATAAAGCAACACAAAAGTTGTGGACTGACTAAAGGGTACTGTGTGCAATATATACAAAATGTCCTCATAATAGTTGAAGGGTCACAGAATTGGGAAACTATCCTGAGGAAACTATCTCTCTCTCTCTCTCTCTCTCTCTCTCTCTCTCTCTCTCTCTCTCTCTCTCTCTCTCTCTCTCTTTTTCTCTTTCTTTGTGTCTCTCAATATAGATGTAGAAATAGATATGTTTATATTAATATATCTGTATTTACATCTACATATATCTTTATATCTATATCTATCTGTATTTACCTATATCAATATCTACATGTTGTGTCTGTATGTTATCAATCTTAAAGTCAGAAGGACCTAAGTTCAGTCCTTGCTTCTGAAATATACTAGTTGTGTGACCATAGGAAAGTCATTTAACTACTTAGTGTCCCAAGAAATTCTGTAATATAAACTTCAGAGGAGTTGCTGATCTGCAGCAATGGAGGTAGATTCCATACCTCTCAACCACTTTTTAAAAAAAATGTTGAAAAGACAAGTTTTCTTTTAATTAAAAAAAAATTTAGTAGTGCTTTAGCAGAGGGCACATTTGAAAGAGAGAGAAGTTCCTCCCCATTCACTTCTTAGATTCTTGACATGTTTCTACCACTTTCCCCACTCAGATTCTTTTTTTTTAAATTACATTTTTACAAAAATTACTTTATAAACATCTATGGATTACTCTCATTCTATGAGAGGTGTGTTGTAACAATGTATAACCCATGTCCTAATACTCATTGTTATGGGACTGTCTCCATATTGGTGGAGATCAATGTCCTATGTCCATGGGAAGGGTTTGGTTGAGAGGAAGGGAGGAGAGATTTCTTTGGGTTCTTTGGTCTCCAATTTTTTCAGGTTCTTCTGGCTTCCAGGTTTAAGAGAGGAGACAGACAATTCTAACTTTTGGGAAGAAGGCAACATGAGAAGAGCTGGAAATCTTCCCTATGTCCCTATCCCCAGCTTGCTACGCTTAAAGACTTCAGGGAATTTACCCTTTGGGTGAGATCTGGGACTCTCTTGTTTGAGTTGATATACCTTGCTCCCAGTGGGAGAGCTCTTTCACTCTGTATTGCCTAGAGTATATACATACATACATGCACACACATACACACACACAAATATTTTCATATGTATACTTTCTCTGATTTTTCTATTTTTTGTATATATGAGTAAAATCTGGATATTAATATTCACAATGTGTATCCATTAAGATACTATTATTTGGTGGGAAGGAAGTCAAGCCTTGCATATAGAACTTGGGGTTCTCCCTTTCTCCATTAAAAAACAGTAATTAGTAATTAGCTTGAACCTTAAAATTATATCCCTTAGATGAGTAATATTTAAGGAGCAAAGAGATAGAATCCTATCCCACTACCTTCTCTCTGAAGAGTGCAGAGTGACCAGCCTGTCTGGCCCCAACCTCTAACCTCCTTCTCTAGCAGGAATTGAAGTCTGCCTTGGAGAGATCTCCATATTGGTTCAGCCTGCATCTGCAAGCCATACATGGTATCTCATGCAATATATTGAGAAATAGCCTTGTTACGGAAATAAAACAAACAAAACTAACAATGCAGTAATCTCATCTCAAATGTAACATTTCACATCTGTAGGACCCCTCACCTCTCTACTCTTAATTGATTTTTTCCCCACTTTTTATTTATTTATTTTTTATTATCCACATTTTAAAAAAATGTTTTTAGTTTTCAACATTTACTTCCACAAGATTTTCAGTTCCAAATTTTCACCCCATCTCATCTCTCCCCCCACACCAAGGTGGCATGCATTCTGAAAATCCCTTCCCCTAGTCTGCCCTCCCTTCTATCTCTCCCCCCCCTTCTCTTATCCCCTTTCCCTTCTACTTTCCTGTAGGGCAGGATAGATTTCTATACCCAATTTCCTATATTTCTTCTTTCCCAGTTGCATGTGAAAACATTTTTTTAAACATGTGTTTTTAAAACTTTGGGTTCCAAATTTTCTCCCTTCTTCCCTCCCCACCCACCCTCATTGAAAAGGCAAGCAACTCAATATAGGTTATACATGTGCAGTTACGCAAAACACTTCCATAGTAGTCACGTTGTGAAAAACTAACTCTAAAGAATTCATGACCAAACAGGAGATAGAGAATATTATGAAAAGCAAAATGGATAATTTTGATTACATTAAATTGAAAAGTTTTTGCACAAACAAAGCCAATGCAACTAAGATTAGAAGGAAGGTAGAAAATTGGGAAAGAATTTTTACAACCAGTCTCTATGATAAAGGCCTCATTTCTAAAATATATAGAGAATTAAGACAAATTTATAAGAACACAAGCCATTCCCCAATTGATAAATGGTCAAAGGATATGAATAGACAGTTCTCAGATGAAGAAATTAAAGCCATCTATAGTCATATGAAAAAATGCTCTAAATAGTTACTGATTAGAGAAATGCAAATCAAAACAACCACATCACACCTATCAGATTGGCCAACATGACAAAACAGGAAAATGATAAATGTTGGAGAGGATGTGGAAAAATTGGAACACTAATGCATTGTTGGTGGAGTTGTGAAATGATTCAACCATTTTGGAGAACAATTTGGAACTATGCCCAAAGGGCTACAAAAACGTGCATACCCTTTGATCTAGCAATAGCACTTCTAGGGCTATATCCCAAAGAGATCAAACAAATGAGAAAAGGACCCACATGTACAAAAAAATTCATAGCATCTCTTTTTGTGGTGGCAAAGAATTGGAAATTGAGAGGATGCCCATCAATTGGGGAATGGCTGAGCAAGTTGTGGTATATGAATGTAATGGAATACTATTGTGCTATAAGAAATGACGAACAGGCTGACTTCAGAAAAACCTGTAAAGACTTATATGTTCTGATGCTGAGTGAAGTGAGCAGAACCAAGAGGACTTTGTGCACAATAACAGCCATGTTATGCAATGAGTAATTTTGGTAAACTGAACCCTTCTCAGCATTATGAGGATCTAAGACATCTCCAGAGGCCTCAGGATGGAAAATGCTGTCCACAGCCAAAGAAAGAACTATGGAAGTCGAATTGCTATCACTTATTTTTACCTTCTGTTGAGTTTTGTTTCATCTTTATGATGGTTCCTCCTATTGGTTTTAATTTTTACTTACAACTTCACTAATGTGAAAATATGTTTAATGGGTATGTAAATGTAAAGCCTATATCAGATTGTGTGCCATCTTGGGGAGGGTGGTGGGGAGCAAGGGGGAGAAAAATTTGCAACTCAAAAGTATATGGAAGTGATTGTTGATAAATCAAAATAAATTAAACCCCCCCCCCAAAAACCCTTAACTCTCTTTCCCTTACTCCTATCCCATCCTCCCCCATTTATTCTATTTTTTCTTTCAACCCTGTCCCTCCTCAGAAGTGTTTGCTTCTGATTGCCCCCTTTCCCAATCTGCCTTCTTCTCTATCATTCCCCTGCTCTCTTGCCCCCTTCTCCCCCTATTTTCCTGTAGGGTAAGACAGATTTCCATCCACTTGAGTCTGTATGTTATTCCCTCCTTAAGCCAAATCCTATGAGAATAAGATTCACTCATTCCCTCTCACCTTCCCATTTCCCCTCCACTGTAAAAGCCTTTTCTTTTCTGTTTTTTTGTGAGATAATTTATCCCAATCTACCTCTCCCTTTCTCGTTCTCCTAGCATAATCCTCTCTCACCCCTTAATTTTATTCTTCAGATATGACCCCTTCATCTTCAACTCACCCTGTGCCCTCTATCTATCCATCTGTCTGTCTGTCTATCTATCTATCTACCTATCTATCTATATCTATATCTACATACATACATATAATCTTTTCTCTCCAACTACCCTAATACTGACAAAGGTCTCATGAATTATAAATACCATCTTTCCATGCAGGAATGTAAACGGTTCAACCTTAATAAGTCTCTTATGATTTCTCTTTCCTGTTTACCTCTTCATGTTCCACTGG